AGTATAATAGAGTGGACTTCTGTCTCAATTCTCAATCGACTCCTCATTTAATTACCTAAATGAATTATTCAAAAACACCTTCAGCTGCACCGTGCATACAACAGATAAGCAGCGACATATAACAAGAGAAAGGTCACACGGTCAAATCAGAAAACAGGATAATTTAATCAAGAGATCATTCTGTTCTCCTAATGAAAGATGAGAAATTACGCTAAGACCTAATTTATCTCATCCTCAAAGCAGTGGAAATTTCTCTGAAACTAAGTAAAATTCATGTTTTCATCACACAGACAAGAAGCAATCACCCCGAAATAGGCACAAGGTATGCTAGGAAGATGGTGATATATGCTCCTTTTTTCAGGTACTATGGTACATAATTTTACCCTTGATAACTCAAAACATGTTTTGAACACATGACATGTCAAAAAAATAGATGGTGTAACACTGTACTGAAGTCCGAAACACTGAATTTATTTCAAAACAACTCTGTCAATTCCTTGTCTTTACTTTTCTTGTCACTCCAGTTCATATTCAGTGTCCATTGTGAAAGTGCACAATACTTACATTCCCTCCCCTTTTTTGCTTATTTGCTTCGAATTCCTAATAACTTGAACCTTTTTTGATTTCTCTAAAAGGTTTGAGTTATTGGGGGTTGACTGTATTTAATTTACTAAATTGACCAATCAGAGCTCCTGAACAGATTCCGGCAGGGTGTAGAAGAAAGTCAGTTTTACAGCTTGCCATTTGGGCAAGCTGTTGTTAGTATGTACCAGCCCAAAAGTTATTTTAACTAGCCCAATGATGAGCAAGGTTGATAACAGTTCTTTTGTGATTAGAATTCCTTAAAAATTTCACTTGCCAGGTGGGCAAGTTAAGGACAGAATTCACTAGCCCTATAGTAAAATCCACTAGCCCAAGGCTATTGGACACGCCATAAGAAGAAACATACTATTATGGACCCAGTCTGAGATTTGTTTCCGTTTTACATGAGAACGGTACAGTCTCAGACCAGGAAGAAAGTAACTTGTGTCGGGCTAGCAACCAACATGAAGTCAGACCGGTCTGAGTTCATTTTTAGGCCGCTCTCATGTAAACGCATGGAAAGAAATGTATGGAGACCGATATGAACTCATACCAGTTTGAGTTTGTCCCGGTCTCATGTAATTACCCCTTAAGTCATCAGTATGGCACTTCTGTTGTTGAGACGCAGACGTCTCTCCCGCGAAACGTACCTAGCGGCGAGATAGAAGCACAGAGAAACGGCTGTATTCGCAGGCTACCCCCATGGGGTTACTCCCAACCCTACCCTTTAGAAGCCCTTAAGAAAACATTTCGGTTAAGAATAATATTGTCAAATTAGAACAGTTTAATGCTACTGGGGGAAACTATATCATATAAATATAATCTTTGGACTACCGCTGGGTTAAACAATATGCTATAATGCACCGCACGTGTAACAAGTATACGGGCAGGCACATTCATACGCGCCGCTGAAAATTGTTGGGGTAAAAAACAACTTCCTATCAAAACGTCAGTAAGAAAAGAAACAAAAAGGGTAACAAAAGACTGTTGAATTAAATTATTTCCTCTTAAATCATGCAAAATGATGGCTACAAACCTTGATGTCGAAAAATGCAAAAACATCCTGGAAGGGACCTGCGTCGCGCCATCTTTGAATTTTATGTTTGTTCCCAGTAGCCGAAATAAACACGCGGTCGCCAAATGTTGCGGACAACTGCAGAAAATGCTTCCCCCTTTTTTGCGGCTTTTTCCAATAGCTGGAAAACCCTAGAAAAGATGGCCCAACCAAGCCATCCTTGCCTTAAACCCAGCCTACACAACAGACAAATTTTTTTTTGTCTTTTCCTTCCTCTCGACTCGCGTGTCTCGTTGCCTGCGTGCAGACGTCTCCTATTTCGTTGTTGCGCGTGCAACAAAGGAAATAGCAGACGTCTGCAGGCAGGCAAGGTGTCTCGCCCTTGCTCGCGCCCCAAACCCCGTCTGACCGCCAGACGATACATGTCCATTGGCTGGAGTCTTTGTTATTAATGTCTATTTGCAAAAAGTATCCTTCGCAGCCATTTTTGTCTCCTGAATGAAGGTTGGTAGTGTCAACCAATTAAACATTTTATTTTATTAACTGGGCTGCCTGTGACGAGCCCAGTTCATAAAATACTTTGGGTTTTTTCCCTAGGGAGGGGGTAGGGGCGGTATTCATAGCAATCTGTGGTGAGGATGTGCCGTCTGACTTTCCAAATCCTTACCCTATACCAAGCGTAAGGCAAATGTAAGGAAGTACCCTCCGGGATTTTTGGTTCACAAAACGAGTGCTATCAATTATTAGGGAGCTTAAGCAACGACGACGGCGACGGCAACAAGAACGGCAAAAAAGCATTAGGCTTATATCAGCAAAACAAAAACAAAAGACCGGGGCCCGGTTCCTGAAAAGGCCGATTAGCGCTAATGGGGATTAAAATTTTGTCCCACTCTTTGTATTTACCTTTCTATGCAATGCTTAGAGTAAGATTTTGTGTTATCATTTCTGTTTTTCGAAGTAAAGACACAACAGCATTTTGTAAGCTCGAGTAACATGGTCTTGGACAAGAAAACCATGCTTAAAATTTGGCTTAATCCCGGATTAAAGTTAATCATCTTTCAAGGAACCGGGCCCAGATATCTCAATCTTACAACTTTCAATATCCTCTAAACTGCAGCAGTGTTTTTCTTTATGTAGTAGTCGGGCTTCCTCTTGCAGCCTTCCCATGTGTAGAAAATAGGCAGCAATGTTATCCCGTCTTGCGTTGGAGAGTTCAGTATCAAATAAAACATCATTCTACAATCCTGGACAAATGTCCTTGAGACAGTAAAAGCATGTCAGCAGTCCTATGTGATTCACAAGTAACCGCGTTCGCAAAAAGAGTGCTGACCCAATTCAATGTTGGACGATCAAAGAAATTGTGGGTCAGTATAATGGTAATTTTTTCAATACTGTCCGGGGGGTGGGGAAGGAACTGAGGAGGTGCATTGTTAGTCGCGCTAACTTTTTTTTTTGTCTGGCGTGTGTTGAAATTAAAAGCTCCATTTAAAAGATCTGTACAGCTGTGCCAAAACTTTCGTCTATGATTGTAAAATCTTCTGTTCTCGTTTTAGTATGGTAGTGGTCACCTTTTCTAAACTACCATATATAGCTTACTATTTGTAACATTTTCCTTCCAGGAGATATTTTTCTTCTAATAAAAGACAACACCAAACTAGTAAAAAAGTAAAGAATACTAATACCATACGAACAAACGATGTGAGGAAAGCGTTAAAAACACACTGTTGTAAGGAAAAGCGTTGAAAAAAAAAAACAGCCAGGGCTAAGCAAGACCATGCAAAGTATGTAAAGGGAGATGTCTTACGAAGAGCAATGTCTTCTGCTGAGGTGCAAAACTTAATTATCCTTAGTTGAGTGTTACAAGAGATCCATGGCGTCCAGAATCGATCGTCTGGGTTTTAGATCTGGTCAGCAATTTTTGGAAAATTTCAAGATCTTTCCGGCACGATTTCAAGGCGGTAAGATATTTCAAATGTAAGTTCTTGCAGGAAGGATTTTGAAAATTCAGGATCTTTCCAGTAACATTAAGAAAAGTTCAAGTTCTTGCCAGCAAGATTTCAAGATTGGAGGCATAATTTCGCCATATTCAAATTGCGCTTTCGTTAGCTGACATTCTCTCTTGCTGACACATAGTAGCTTAGATTCGTCAAGTGCCCAAACGCTGTTCGCTAGTAAAATCGAAGAACACACCGAAACTGTCGCCTTTAGGGTGTTAGCTGGGTGTTTTAGGAGAACGGATTATAAACAGAGGGACTTATACCCGAGGGGGCTTTAATAATCGGAAAGGAAAAAAATATTTCCAAAGAAGCTATAGAAGTGCTTTTAATCAAAGTACTTTTTGCATCAACTGGATTTTTATGAAGCTTTAAAACATAACTAAAGTTGTGAATCGTTTAGGGAACAACGCTTGGAAAGTGACCTGAAAAAAGAAACAAACGACTATCGGACACAAATTGAAAAGCCTTTATTTTACAAACGTCGTTCTCTTGGCGAACAACACACAACACTGATCATCATGTAAAAATGTCTTGTTTCCAGTACTGATCATAATTCCAGACCTTGAAGAAAAACAACAAGGGTAAGTTTTAAAAACCCCTGGCATTACAACAGTACAGTAGGAAATAAAAGGCACGACATAAACATTTTGGGTTCTCCGCGATCTACTCTCGTGTCCTGTCCGACTATGATGGTGCCTGCTATATACGGGTTTTCTGCACAACAAATAAACGACACTGAGAAGGTTTTAAAGGCTTATGGGAATAGCAAATGACTCAGTGTTTTCTGTAAATTATCTGTTCGGAGAAGCAAATATTTCCTAGAATTTTCTCTTACTTAAAGACGGATAAACATTTCTAGATGACCGTTCTAATCAAGTACAATTTGCGAAGCTCAGCTAATAAATTCCCTAAGTTTAATGTTTCACATTTCACTGCCTGCCAGGTTAGGCTATTTTTCGTAGAAAAAGGAAACCTAAAATTTTCGGATTCAAAACGTAAACTGTGATGAAGAAAGGAATCAGAAAAATTATCACTTTCGTAATACGTTAACTTTTATCTTACGTTAACTTTTATCTAAGATTTCCAAAGGCCTTGTAATTTCGAAAAGATTCAATTTCCCCTAGGATGACCAAAGAAATGCAAATGTGATAGAGCCGCTTTGAATGCATTTCTAGAGATCCAAAAGTACCCTGGGTAGCCTAAAAAGTGTTTCTAATGTATGTAGGAGGAAACCTTCGTTAACTGCCCCTCTGAAATCAAGAGCTTAAGACCTAGTGACGACGAGTGTTTGAGACAAATCAATGACCACACCCTGCATTGTCGGGGATCGGAAGGAAAAAGCACGGGTAAACCCGAGCTTTTTTAAACATTCTGTTTAACGATATTGAGGAAACAAACCTTATTTTTTAAGGTGGGCGGTCGAGTTCCAACGCCTCCAGTCTGTTCCAGTCAAAGCCGTGAAAGAAAGCATGATCTCTGATGCAGGGGTAATCGCCTCCTTTATACCCGAGACGGTCTTGCGGATATTTCTCTAGTAACTGAAAACATCCAAAAAAGGGGATATGTCTTGTAATATCGGTATTTAGATCTATTTACTCTCAACTCAGAGATCTTTGTTTATTGAAATGCTATGTTTTTATGCTACTTCGTAACAGAAGTCAACGTTGACCTAGTTTTAGTCTAGTCATATTTGTACTTCACTCATTCGAACATAAAAAAGATTTCTCTAGCCTTCAATATACCTGAATCCTAAAAACGGTAACCCTTTCTGGCGGAGCCTCCCCGTATAATCCGTCATGGGGATTACCCCGGGGGAAGCAAGTCAATCTTTGGATTTTTTCACTAAGTCTTGCCTCTATTGTTATCGACTGGCATAAATAATTTTGGTACATGTAAAAAATGAAGGGAATATAACATTTCATGTATGATTTATGTATTTGACACTTACGTGTAGGAATAATTCAGTGGCGTCAATGGACAGCTCAGACATTGTTACTTTGTCCGGTTTCTGTGGGTAGTGATGTACGATCAAATCAAATAACTCATCCTCCGATTCAGCATCAAACGGCATCTAAAATGTAAACACAAAGCATAACATTGTCAACTAAGTAGGTTACCATCATCATAGTCTAAGTTCAGTTTCACCTTTTTCGTGTTAAGAACAAAATAACTGAAATAACATTTGAAATACAAACCATTCCAGTAAGCATCGTAAACACCATGACTCCAAGAGCCCACCAATCCACACTTGCGTCGTATGGGTCAAGTAAAATAATCTGCAACAAATAACACCTTGCACTAAGCTACCATCAGCACGATAAGATGTTATTCCATGAAAACAAGCCGATCTTCTCCTAAGCAAAAGATCTTACTACGAGGTTTTCGATTTTTTAGTGAGTGGATCATGTCGTGTATTGTTAGCTTTGTGGAAACTGAACATGCAGCTCCTCCTTCTTCCAGTGTAGGTAACATTAGTATATATGTTACAGGTCAAAATTATATCCAGGTTAAAATTATTTGACGTAGGTTAGTTCTCTATTTCCTTTGTTTCCTAGCCCTAATTATTCATGAACTAGGGCGGGATACAAAGAAAATTGAGATTTAACCAAGCTATGTCAAATCAAAATTAACCTGAAACCAAATTTGACCTGTAACATATATATCTCGTACAAGAAAACACCATATTTAATAGCCTGTATAAACATTTGTTTTAGCGTTAATTATCAGCACTGATTCAGTAAGTAAACAACAGAAACTACCCTAACAGAATATAATTTGGCTGTCCTTGTTAGAACCCTGTTAAATTTTCCAAGGGATATATTGGATGGTGGTTCTGAAATGGATCCTAGATATGGGATAAAATAGATATTGACCAAGTAGATACACAAGAAACTGATTTAGACACTTGGTTCACAGGGCTTAAGGGGGCATTATTGTTTGTTTTTTGGGAGATGATGTTGATTAGGGTAGAATAGGCGTACCAGTTAGTCCACTAATGGGATCAGAGGCACCTTGTTATGGCGGTGGACTCTCTGGTAATTGTCTACTAATTATTCACTTCATATTTTAATTTTTTAACAACCCCAAAATCCAATAATTTCCCATTTTCCTAAAAGTTTAAACATCTTCCCCCCTAAATAATGCTTTTAACCATACTCGTCCCCCTTAACTAACGCTACAGTTCCACTGTTTACCTCAGGAGCCATGTAACGAGGTGTCCCGATAATTTCTGCGTTGTTAATCTTTTCCTGTTTAACTGGATCGATGATAGCGGACAACCCAAAATCACTGATTTTGATGTCTCCTTTTTTGGTCAGCAAAATGTTTTCAGGTTTCAAGTCCCTGTCATACGATAAAAACAAATTGCACAAATATTCAAGACATTGATTTATAAGTAAACTGAGCCAAAAGCCGGGTGCGACATAATCTTCGAGGAAAAGGGACAAATAGCTGCATCATTCGTATAAAGGTAACTTTCTTCACCCATGCAAGGACTATACAGAACGCTGAGCCCTGTCACTCTCTCCTCCGCAAAGGCTCCCGGTGGGTATCCCAACAAAATAGCAATAATGGAAAAATACAAAGCGTGCGGGGAACGACGGGAAGAGGGAAAAGTGGGAGCGAGGCCTTCCTTCTCTCTTTCCCCTTCCCATCGTCCACCGCTCACTTTCTGTTTCCCTCTCCCCAGTCCTCCCTACGATACCAAGAGGCCTCTTCGGAGGAGACAGGCCCTGTCATGGTAGACAATGATCTAGCAAACGATTACCTACTTTGTACAGTCAGGTGATTTACGGCTGAGAAGGTCCGACGGTCTCAATTCATTGCTTTTTTTATCTTGAGTTTGCCAAGCGATCGAAATCACCCATCAAGTGTGGATTTCAGCTAGTTTTCAAATTTCTACTCACCTGTGTATTACACCTTTTTGGTGTAGAAATTGCAAGCCGGTGATGATTTCAGCTGTGTAAAACCTAAAATAAACGACGAGTAATAGGATGTTTTAGGTAAAACATGTATGTATACTACGTCTCACTACTGAGCAAGATTAAATGAGCTCCATGGACCATCTAGGTAGGTCACCCTTAATTTTTGAAGATTAATCTTTAAAATCTAGAGGTCTAAACGAAATTTAGGAACCTTAAATGGATGAAACTGTGTCAATTTTAACTGTATTATCAGGATTAAAGGGTCCTCATATTATACACTTGCTCAAATTTTTCCTGAATTCCATTCATGAGTTTGGTTTAGCCTGGGAGGAGAAACAATATTTCGTCCTTAGTCTCATACACAGCCGTTTTTGTTTCGATTTTCACACAACGGGAACGCAAAACAAACTGCATAGGATACTACTTCCTCCCTACTTCTGCCCCTCTAAAATATGTTGACTCCTTCACCAGACTAAAACGAACCCATCCAATTGGTTTCCCTGCTAGCAGAGGTCTCTCCTTTCTCTCATTTTTGCCTCGCCGTGAGAGACCTCTGCTAGCAGGGAACCAATTGGTATGGAATTGAAAAAAAAGTAGGCGAGTGTAAAATATGTGGAGCCCATACCACTGATAATAAAAACTGACCACATTTTCGTCCATTTAAGGTTCCAAAAATGTGTTTAGACCTCTGGTTAAATTCATCTACGAAAATTAGGCGTGGTCCACAGGGGTAGTCCATGGACCGGGTTCACGAAGCGGTCCATCGGATTGGTCCATAGGTGGTACATTTTTTGTATACATCCGCGTATGTGAGGTGAAGGCGTGAAGTTTCTATCACTTTTTTTGACAGAATTTTTTTGTTTACTGGTTTTTGCATCCTCAGTTTAATTTTAAGGTTACATGTATTGGGTAGAACTCAATTGATAGAACCAGTCGTTATTAAACGATGAGTCAGTCAAGAATAATTTACGATGATTTCGACCCAGTACTAATGGAACGTGTCTTACTGAAGCGTTATTGGGTATTCGGTTTAAAGCAAAACTTGACCAAATGTGTTACATTCTGTTGTGTTTTCTTTTATTGTGACGTTTGTTATAGACTGTTTTCTTAACAGTTGCTCGAAAACTTTTATATGGAATTATGATTACCTCGTCCGATTTTCGCTGAGCCATCCATTCTCATCCAATTCAGTGAAAAGGTCTCCTCCTTCAACGAACTCTAGTATAATGAAATGGCCAGGGTACTATAATATGAAAATGCAAAGAAGCTATTAGTTGACCCATAACATACTATTTTCTTTTTGGCTTATAGTGAACAAAATTGAGAAAGATAATGAGGCACAGAGAGAAACGTCCAGTGGAGCCGATAAAGGTAAAAAGTAAAGGCGCACACGAGCCAAAGACCCACACGGTCGGAGCTTATACCGGTTTCCGTAGCATGAAGCAAGCCTAGGAGTATTGCCACTCCCCCCTAGATGGGATGCTAGTCCATCGCAGGGTTACCCCCCAGCAGTATGTCGCCGGTACCCACTTATACACCTGGGTGAAAAGAAACAAAATGGGGTTAAGTTTCTTGTCTTGGGAAACAACGCGACTGGCGAGGCTTGAACCTCGGACCTTCAGATCCAGAGTTTGAGGTGTTAAACGCTCGGCCACAAACGTCTCAATCAAGTCTTATAGCACAGGTATAATTCATAATCTTTCGGAGGGTTTGTAGTCCCCTGTTTTCCTGCAAGTTCGTCAAGATGTCGGAATGCTGTAAATGTAATTGGTCGGCCATTTTTTCCACATCTGCGGGCGGGCGGGCGGGTTTCGGCGTTTATAGCGGGGGTAAAAGGAGGAAAAATGTTTGTGCAATTTTTAAAAGTATCATACCGGGTTCTCAACTTCTTCACAAAGTCTTGTTATGAAAGGACTGGACGAGGCTAGGCTCAATACTTTCTCTTCCACACTGCTTGGGTCAGGTTCAATTATCTGCTTTACCGCGTATGGCCTCTTGGTGCGACGGTCCTCACAAAGACGAACCTATAAAAAGATTGACAGATATATTTTCAAACCCGGTGGGTTTCCAAAGAACGTCATATTACTTCCCGACCCGAAAAAATAGCCCCAGATATCATCCACTTGTTGGAGAAAGAAGGAATTCTACACAGTGTGTATATCGTATTCACCTTTAATCGCTTATTTGTTAATTAAAAGAGCGTACACTTAGCAAAAACGAAAGTAAACAAAGCCTTTCAACTTCTTTAAAAGAGTTTTGAAATTAATAAATAGATAATGACTTATTTAAGTAATTAATCAAATAATTGATAAATCGCTAGGTTTTGACCACGAGATACTCGCCACTGTAGCGCGGTGATCCGCCGAAAATTGCTCTAAATTTTGTGAAAATTAATATTACGAATTGTTTGTGATTATTGTTTGATTCTTATGACAGTCTCTCACCTTCCCAAACGCTCCCTCACCAATCATCTTGATGGCTTTAAGTTTATACAGTGAGATCGACTTTCTTTGTTTCTTTGTCTTAATCTTGTCTAACTGCTCTTCTGATCTTCTACGTTTAACGGGGCACTAGTCAATCAAGATGAATGAAATAAGTTATAAATCAGACTATGAAATGAGTGTTGAAGAGGACTTGGCGTTTTGCTATATATAACTTGAAAGTGACGGTAGTTTTGTAAATGAAACTTCAAAATGGGAGAGAATAGATTTATAACTGATATCGACTGCTTTAATAATTATTTTATTTACTTTCTGGCGCGTTATTTGTTTACATGGACCGTCAAGTTCCAAAAACCTCATAAATATTAAAGAAAAAAATCAGTGTTTCTAAGCCTTATTGCAGACAGGCCCACACACAGTCAATAATCCAATAAGGGAGTTAATGAATGGCACAAAAACTTGTTTGCAAGAATAACTTAAAGTGGGTTGTTCCTAACATGCAGTAAACATAAGCTTACTTTTTGACTTTCCTGTTCTATTTTCACTGGCCCTTTTTCCGTTAATTCTGGAATTTTAATTTCACCGGTTGCAACTTCTCTGATAATAAAAATAGACACAACACAATCAGCTACAGATCATATTTCATCTAAAATAGCTTTAAGTTTCGAATACAAAACTTGATGCACTAGAAATGTCTTGTAATCTCACTGACAAAGTAAAAACACTGGAAAATTTAATTCGGTTATCAGTTATTTGCTTGCGTGAGGCAGCACGCGCGCGCACTCCTGTTTCACGCCCCAGCTAGCCTCGTCACCAAGTCAGTTCGCGCTATCCAAATAAAACGAGGAGCCTTGGAACGGAGCGCGATCTTCCGACGACTGGGAACGAGTCTGCATCTCAGCTGCTGACCAAAGTGAAGGCAGGCTCTCACAAACACTGCGTTCCTTTAGGTCAGCACCAAGATTATTACAAACGGTTACCATGGACGATTTTTTTTTGTTTTCGAAAACAGACAACTTACAGTAAATACCAAAAAGTAAAAAATTACCGAAAGTTGCACGATCTTTTTGACCCAAAATACAAGTTTCTAAATACTGCTTCAGGAATAGTTCTCCTTCTTCTGTTTAATCGTTTTAGTAGCTTGTCCTCGTTACATTATCCTTTTATTGAAACTGATCAACAGGCGCCTCGTCTCAGTTGGCCTTGAAACTGCTTTTAACTCTAATCGCGAAAAAAGGATTCTTTGTCTTCAAAAGAAAAGCGAGAAGATACTTTCTTACCTTTTTCCACTACATTTTCCTTTAAAATACTGAAAAACGCTTTGTAACATATAAAAGGAAAAAACGAAGGGCCCTATAACTGGACCGGCCTTCATTGCTGATCTATACGTAGCATTCAACGAATGATCTGCATACTGAAAGATCCAACTCTGTTCTTTGAAATGGCGTCATAATAGGCATTTACCGCGCGCGAGCAAAAGAACTTCTGTTCCAAAGCTAACGCACAGAAAACGTTTACTTCATTTTGTGAGCGTACTTATTACGTAAGGTCGTAAGTTTGTTTTCCCAAAAAACTTCCTAACCCTTTCCTTTTCTTACCTGTGTCTTGTAATCTCACTGACAAAGTGTCAAGTCTTATGCACAGCAGAGGGGAGGTGAGGTACGGCAGTCCCAATCAGGTAGGGCTAATTGGGAAAAAGGTTAGCGCTGCTGTGACGTCAGTGCGTCTTGGTTTCAGCAGCCTCTGGAGATGTTTCTTTATGAGCACGATCCAGCTGACGATCTCTTGCAGAACGTTCTTAGCAGCGGGGAGCGATGAGAGGGTGGCTACTTCCGGTCACGCTTGCAAGTAACAGCTGTTTGCCTCTTGCCTGTGGGAAGTTTTTGATTGAGTCATTTCTGGTTTATAGTCATCTTCCTTGATAGCGGACGCTGTAGGGACCTCCATTAGCGAGAGTCCGTAGTTTATTTCAAAGCGGGGTTAAGATAACCCAGGGTTAGTGCGAAATATGCCAGAATTGATGACTGGATGCTCTAAAAGTAAAGGGAAAATTATCCAAGAAAATGCTTTTAAACAAAAGAGAGAGA